AATCTCTATTTTTGGTCTCCTCACCTTTGCCCTGAGATAGCACGTGCTCTCCTATCCCAAGAAACAAGTTTTAGATAAATTGGAAGGTTTTCAAGGGAGTGCAGCCAAAATAATTAGGAGTTGAAAGGATTGATTTATGAGCCAAGATCAGAAAAGTGAAATGCATTTTATTTGGTCAACTAACAAATAAAAGTAGAGCAAAGACAATTAGCAAAACAAAAAGGAAACAATTAGGTTTCATGTAAAAATATGAAAAAATTCACCTTTCTCCCTCCCCTACCTACCTCTGTTCATTCCTCAAATGTTAGGTAAATCCTGATGAATGTTTATAGAGTGAATCTAAAATCATCTGGGGGGGGGCACTCTCATTGGGCTTACAAATCTACAGCCTTGGCTCTCTAAATCCAGTGGAAAGAAGGAAGCATTTCAGAACCTGAGATACTATTGAGGAATTTGAGGTAAAGTTTGGAGCCTGGTGATCAGAGAATCCTTAAGAGGCCAGAGGAAGAAAAGGCTTCCCAAGGTGGCTAGGGTCTAGGCAGAGCCCCTAGTGCTCACTAAGGCCCAGGACAGTTTCTGGGACCCCTGTGGCAATTGGCTAATGTCCAGGGCTTGGGAAAAGATAGACATGGATTCACATCCTTTTGTCCTCTCAGGCCCGTAAATTCAGTCCAATTTTGAAGAAAAGAGGAAAGGGATTGTGATGAGAAACAGAACAAGCAGAGACAAAGAACAGAGGCTTTGCTTGCTTCTGGTCATGGTTCATTCTAAGTTACTTGAGTTCCTACCCACCTCTCTCCCCCATCTCCCTCCCCCCCCCCCAACCTTCCTACATCTTGTCTGTGATAGGTCTTTAAAGTGGAAGAATGGAAATTCTTTTAGTTTGATTTTCTGGTTCAGTAGATATTTAAACTTCAGTAGACTTTCTTCAAACACTTTAATTCACAGTATTTACTGTTAGAAAAAAAAAATGCCCTTCACCCCCAAGTGATGGCTGTATCACACTGGGAAGACACTTTAATAAATAAAAATCAATGCCTGAGGATTTTTTTTCTGGTATTGTCATTGCAGCAATAGCGATTTCTTTTGTTTTTTGTTCTTCAATAGGGATTTCTTAACAATTGCCAACATGCTTTGTTTTGCTACGAATAAGACAATGTTACCTAACGTAGGGACAATGTACAGGATCCTGAAAAAATGGTAGGATTTGGAGTGAAACCACAGGGCCTAAGGAAAAATAAAAGTATATTGAAATAAGCAACAAAAAGGAACTAGAATAAAGCAAGTAGCTAGGACCTGGAAGCCCTCTCCATGTGGCTGGGAATGAAGTGGGGAGGTGGGTGGTGGGTGGCAAGGGCCTGGGAAAGAGGTGGTGGCGCCTTTTTGTCGGGGAGATGAGATGTGACGTGAACATTGGGAAAATGCCCAATTCTAAAGCAGTGGTGCAGAGGTCCTGGAAGAAGCATCTTACATGCACCAAACACATTCCTAGTGCTTTATCTACGGCTTCCTTTAAAGATTTATTTATTTGTGCATACAGAACTGGGGTACAGGCCAGAGGTGCAGGGGCGGTGAGAGGCTTCACCAGAGACAGAGTGGGGAGCAGAACAGGCAGATCAACAAAGTACACTGCAGATCAACGAAGTACATTGCCTAGGGGAGCTGAGGAAGGGTCAGGAGAGGTCTGCCGCAACATGTGGGTCACCTCGGGGCCTGCCAGGTGGATCACCTCAGAGGCAGGGGATGGAACTTGTACTGAGGTGGCTGCAGCCAGCTTCGCAGTGCGGCGCTCCATCCCGCTGAGCCACGAGGAGGGCCCTAGTGGCCTCCTTTTAATCCTCCTCCACCCCTGTGGGTTGGGTGCAGTGGTGCTCTTCAGCTTGCACAGGAGAAATCAAAGGTACAGAGAGGTTTAAAACTCACCGATTTGTGTCTCTCATGTTCATGGCAGAATTTTTCACAATGACCAAGACATGGGATCAACCTAAATGCCCATCAACAGATAAATGGATAAAGAAGATAGACAGATAGCTGAGAGATATAAGACCTCTGTCTACATAGTATGTGTAAATATATGTGGCTTTTAGACACACGATACATATTGCAATAGCATTCCATTCCCACACACGTGCAATGAAATATCATTCAGTTATAAAAAAGGAGGATGGATGCCCTCCCTGGTAGCGCAGCGGGTTAAAGCACAGCACTAAGAAGCTAAAGCCACTTCTGCATGAGTTTGATTCCCGCCTGCCCCGGAGGTGACCACATGGCGTGGCAGACCTCTCCTGACCCGCCCGCTGCTCCCCTCAGCAGTGTACTTCGTCGATCTGCCTGTTCTGCTCCCCACTCTGTCTCTGGTGAATCCTCTCACCACCCCTGCACCTCTGGCCTGTATGCAGAAATAAATAAATCTTTAGGAGAAAAAAAAGGAAGGGTGGAGCTTAAGGGCATGAAGCTAGGCAAAATAAGTTAGAGAAAGACCTCTATTCTGTTATCTCACATATGTGAAATCTAAAAATACTGAACTCACAGAAACAAAGAGTATTATGGGGGTTATTACTGATGGTGAGAGAAGTGGGGAGATGTCAGTCACAAGGCACAGATGTCCAGTTAGAAGAGAAGTAAGTTCTGGGGACCCAAGTTTCAGCACCGTGGGCACAGCAAATAATACTGGTTGTGTCCTCAAAAGTTACTAACAGAGCATCTTAAGTGTTCCCCTGAAAAGTAAGTTCTCGTAAAACCAGGGAATTATGCCTTGTAATGAGCTGCTAGCTCAAGCTGTGTTAGTCATTTCATGACACAGTCGTGCTTGCCAACAGCACTACCAGTGGACAGCACATGGAACACGGTTCCCACTGGGGCCCCAACTCGCTTAGGTGTGGCAGGGCCTAGCCCAGCAGGTGTGTGCAGTTACACCAGATGATGTTTGCACAGTAATGAAATCACCTCACTATGCATTATCGCTGCTGCTAAATCATGCATAACTCTATACAAGTGTATCAAAGTGGCACATGGAACACATTCAGGGTACACCTGTTATCTGTCGGTTACATATCAGTGAAGCTGGGGGGAAATAAAAACATTCTTTTTTTCATTGATGCTCAGAAAAAGTGGAAATTTGCTCACTGGAAGGCATTTCACTCATTGAAATTCACTTATCTTCTCAAGGTCGATCCATATTGTCACAAATGGCAGAATATCCTTCCTTCTTATGACTAAAATTGCTCAGTTATTGTGATTAGTCAGTCTCATTGTGTGTGTGTTGGAATGGATTATTGGATTATTATATACTATGTGTATAAAAACTATATATACAGGGCCCTCCCTGGTGGCGCAGCAGGTTAAAGCACAGCACTAAGAAGCTAAAGCCACTTACGCATGAGTTCGATCCCCGCCTGCCCCAGAGGAGATCCACATGGCGAGGCAGACCTCTCCTGACCCGCCCGCTGCTCCCCTCAGCAGTGTACTTCGTAGATCTGCCTGTTCTGCTCCCCGCTCTGTCTCTGGTGAAGCCTCTCGCCGCCCCTAAGCCTCTGGCCTGTACCCCAGTTCTATATGTACAAGTAAATAAATCTTTAAAAAAAAAATACATTGACTGCATTATAATTTAGTTTAAATAAAATCAATATCAGTGATTATTCAAAGACCCTTGATTAAGGAACTTTATTTTTCAACTAGTCATAATGTAATATGGTATATTTCAATGTCAAGGTGCAAAAGAAATGGCCCCACTCTCCTCTTAGTTCTTAGGTCAGGATGAATAATCAAAACTGCCTCAGATTAGCAAGGGCTAGCAATGGAGAAACAATCAACTTAATAACATACTTACAAAAAATACATGTGGTTATAAATTCCAGAGAGTGTGGAGTGGACCAGGAACATTTATTCTGCATTTAAGGACTTGGGGTATCAAGAAGGTGGGAGAAGGGAGTTACTTCATAGAAGTTCCCTCATACTTTGAAAGTAAAGGGAGGTCGTGTTCACTCACAACCCTACAACTGAATGAGACCCTTAAACCACATTCTTCTAAGGTCATAAAAGAGGGGCAGTGCTTGCTTCTCAGATTAGGAAAAGGGACCAAGCTTCGTACTCAAGCTCTTCATGGTTAGGGAGGGATGCGACTTAGGCCAGGAGAGGTTTTTTCCCAGCCTTCAGGACCTTCCCGTCTGGTACCATGGAACAACCTGCACTCTTCAGCACTGGTCATAAGCTCCTGAGGCCCCAGGCCTTCCACTGACCTCAGTTTCTATGCCAAAGTGATGAGGGGTCTCCTCTGGACACACTGAGAAAAGTCTATCTGACCTCTTTGGGGAAACTGATCCTACACCAAGGAGAATATAAAAGTTGAGGCAGATTTGGGGAGCCTTGTTGACCATGCAAAGATAATTAAACTTCCTTCCAGAGTCAGTAAGAAGCATTCGGTTCTAATCCATGGTGTCAAGTGGTCATGTTGGCTCTGTGCTGCTCCTTCTTGTCAAATGAAGGGCTTGCACTGGAAGGAGTGAGGTCAAAACTGGAGGTGTGATGATCCAGGGGAAGGATGACAAGAGTCTAAACTGAGACTGGAGCAGAGGAGGCGAGGTGGAGAGACAAAGAGAAGGCAAGGAGAGGCTAAGAGGTCATGGTGGCTGTAAGGAACAAAGGGACAGGAACCACCTGCACCTACCAGGATTCCTGGATCCCAGGGCATTAGAACACAACCACCAAGATGAGTCTCAGGGAGTGGGATTTTAGAATAATGAGCATTTTCTTATGATGCAAATGTTTTAAATTTCCTCTACTTCTCCATTTTGGTTGCTCTTTATAGTCATTTTCATTTTGTCAGATATGTCGTTCTTTTTACAGAAGCACTTGTAGCAGTTTTAAGTCTATTCATGCTTCCTCTTGTGGTTTCCTGGACAGGTGGGTTTGCCCAAGTGCTTATCAGTGCGTGATGTTCAAGGAGGATAAATAACTAGGAAGTGGGCAGCCGACCTGTTGGAACTTTCCTTTGATTCCAGGCTGCCCTGGCAGGAGGCACCACCATGATCCTTGACTTCGCCATCCCTCAGAAAGGCGGCTCCCTCATTGAGGCCTTCGACACCTGGCGGAGCTGGGCCGACCCCAAAGTCTGCTGTGACTACAGCCTCCACGTGGCGGTGACGTGGTGGAGTGATCAGGTGAACCCATGTTTCCTTCTCTCTACTTAGCCTTAGTCCTTGCTCTGTACTAGATATATATCTATATATAAAAAAGATCAAACCAGCATCTAAGAAACTGGTAGCGAGGATTGCTGCCTGGAGGCCTGGAAATCAGAATTCAAGTTCCCTCCTGACGCTTCATTGTGTAGCCTCTCATAACCTTTTGAATTTGGAATTCTTTGTGAAATATTACCCATTTTAAAAACTAAACTTAAAAAGGAATCCTATAAAGACAATAGATAAATTATTTCATTCTCAATAGTGTTCACTAATATTTAATTCATGTATTGTAAATATTTTAAATGTAATTTTAAAAAGTACTGGTCTCTCTAAACCGCAGCATCAGCAGTTGGTCTTAGGCAGTATTTTCTCACATGTGAGTACGTGAGTTCGCACTGATGACTATGTGGAGGAAGACTAAGGAAGGGGGGCACAGGGGGGGCTTTCAAGGCCTTGCCTGGGCTGTGTGCCCCTCTGGGACCTCTGCTAATATCCACGCCTGGTGGGGCCATGTCATAACACACCTAAAACTAACCTTCTTATTACTGACCCCAGAGTAGAAATGATAACCTGGTTTGAGTAGAAAAGACAATTTTGAGAGGTGTTTCAATATGTTCATTTCTCCCTGTAAAAATGTACCTGTAACATGGAAGCAACTTTTACTTGTGATTTCAATCAACAAAATGTTTCCACATTGGACTTCATTCAGAAAGCTTTGCACGAGAAAGGGTTTGCAAGATGACTTTATTTGAAGCGAGCATGTGAGGTTATGTTTGCACCTCCCCCTAAAAGTTGGGCTTTAGACGCCAGTGAATACACAAGTAATCAATCTTTAACTGGCATTTTAACAAACATAATAGCAAGGTTTATAGTCCGCAGGTAAAGTTAATTTTTCTCTAAAAATGCCATACTCATAGATGCATCTGAGCTCTTTGTCCTTTTAGGGTTTTCTTTTCTCCTCTCCTCTTTTTTTTTTTTCCTTCCTTCCTCCCACCTGCCTTCTTTGCCTCCCTGCTTCTTCTCTTGTCTCTCTTCTAAGATAAAGCAAAGATGATAATTGCTTTTACCAGTAAACCTGATAGATGTTGAAATGTGCACTATGTTCAAACATATATTTATTTGCAATGGCTGCTGTAACAAAGGGCCACCAACTAGGTTACTTACACAGAATTTATTTTCTCATACTCTTGGTTAGAAGTCCACGATCAAGATTTTGGCAGAATTCATTCCTTCTGAGTGCCAGGAGGGTGAACCTCAGGACAGAAGGGTTTGGTAATCTTCTGACAATCTCTGGTGCACCCTGATTTATCAAATCATCAGCCAAATCTTCTCCTCAGTGCTTACATGGTGCATCTTTCTCTAAATTTCCCCTTTCCAAAAAGATACCAATTAGGATGTGTTCAATGACCTCATCTTAGCTAATTACCTCTGTGATAACTGTTTCCAAGAGGTCACATACTGAGTTACTGGGGGTTAGGACTTCAACATATGAATTTAGAGTAAGGGGGTACACAAATCAGCCCATGCCAGTAGGTCTGTTATAGGGCCCAAGATTCTGCGTTTCTAGTGACCTCCCAGGTGATACCAATGTCTCTGATTCACTACGCTTTTGCCACAGTGAGGTGTAGGATAAAGGAAGATTGCCCAGGCTTCTGCAATATTGGCCTCAATGGCTATCACCTGCAGCCTTGAATACAGGAGGCGCTTGGGCGCATGGGATTGGGTGCGCATGCCTGAAGGTGGACACGTGGGGTATGCTGTGCGCATGCGTAATTGGTCACACTTGAGCCTGGAGCCTGTCTTCAAGGGAGTGCTACAGCGGAGTGTGCCTGAGGACGGTGGAGTGTGGCGGTGATCGTCTACGACAGGAAAGAACGTGTAGAAACTCACAAGGGCCCCAGTAGCGATCTGCCTGCTGGCTAGTTTCCTCTACATACTAGGAAATCTATGGGGATAATGCGAGGGTTCCGAGGTTCTCTTTTTTTTTTTTTTTTTTTTTTTTTAAAGATTTATTTATTTATTTATACAGAACTAGGGTACAGGCCAGAGATGCGGTGAGAGGATTCACCAGAGACAGAGTGGGGAGCAGAACAGACAGATGGATGAAGTACACTGCTGAGGGGAGCAGCGGGCGGGCCAGGAGAGGTCTGCCACGCCATGTGGATCTCCTCCGGGGCAGGCGGGGATCGAACTCATGCGGAAGTGGTTTAAGCTTCTTAGTGCAGTGCTTTAATCCACTGCGCCACCAGGGAGGGCCCCCGAGGTTCTCTTTTAAGCTGCCTGAACCGACAGTGAACCTCACCTGCCTGGAGTGATTGCAGAATAGGACCTGGCTTAGTCTACAGTGTCTGAGAGTAGCACAGTGGGGCTTAAGACCCTTGGAGGGGTGACAGGGAGGTTCTTGAGGTCACCTTCAGAAAGGTCCATCCTCTAGTAGAGGCTGGGGCCATCAGCCGGCAGACACCGCCTGTGCCAGGTGATAAAACCCCTAGGGAAAAGTATGGAAAAACTTGTATGGAAAAACAGCAATGGAGGTGGGGGGGAGCTCAGTAGGTAATATTGTCTATTTTGTTCTGAGACCTACTCTGTGCATATATCATCTCAGGGCTTTGCTGAGGCAATAGAAAAAAATTGTGTTATTTTGTGCTTTTAAAGCAGGAAGATTGACTTTTCCCTCATGTTGAATAGTCATTTCCAGTTCTCGCTGAAATGTTAGTAATGCTTCACCTGAAATATTAGTGTTTTCCTTATTAAGGTGAAAGAGCTTTTATCAACTGAAATTTGCTATCATTCTAGGCCTATTAATAGGTCTGTTTCTGTATATATTTGCTTTATAGTTTGTCTTTATAGTTTGTCTTTATATGTGCGTGTTTTACTATGTAGAAGTTTAAACAATTGATTTGATCATATCTTCTGATTCTTCCTTTGAATTGAATTGGACATCCAAGGGCAATTGCTACTGCAGTTTTGATCTGAACTTGCCCCTTGCAGTTGGTAGGCCGACAGCCGCCTAGGAGATGCGGTGCGTCAATTTGCATCGTGTACTTTTCTCCTAAGAACGCATCCTTTCTGCTCAATCCTTACCTCTCATTAGCCTGGATTCCTTCTAGAGAGATGATTGCTTCTGTTGCTACCAAATGGCTTTGTCTTCATTCTCTAGGATAATTTACTCATCTCAGTAGATAGATGCTGAGATCTTTATTCCCAAGTATAGAAATGCAATACTTTGGAGAAAACTATTAACTCTTTCACAATTTAAAAGTTATAGCAGCAGTGACTCATTGCATGAAATGATGTCTAATCTGGGAGAAAGACCAAGTCCTTAATTGCATTTCTTAGGAATTAGATTGTCGCCTTTAACTACTTTATTCTCTTCTAAATGTAACATTATGGAGAATCTTGACATTATCATTTAAATTAGAGTGACATTTTGTTGTCTTTTTGTTGTTCTCTTGTAGGTTAAAGAAGAAATGAAAATCCTTACCCAAGATAAAGGTGTAAACTCTTTCAAAATGTTTATGGCCTATAAAGATGTGTACATGGTAGGGGACCAGGAGCTGTATGCTGCCTTCTCTCAGTGCAAGGAGATTGGAGCAATTGCTCAGGTCCATGCAGAAAATGGAGACCTAATTGTAGAGGTAAGCCCAGGCATTCCAGCACCAACAGCCATTAAATAGAAGACAGTTGGTCCCAGTAGGTAAACTCATTAACTGCCTTGGAGTAAACACATTTTCTGTGGCTTGGAAATACTTGACTTGGTTTCCTGGAACAGGGGTTCTAGGTTGGTTCAGGCAGTATATGTATGGGAATGAGGATTTCCCTTTTTACCAACTATTAGATTTCAAACATGTTTTATTATAAAATGCAAATCTTTTTTCTTGGTATAGCCCAGCCCTGTTTTTTAATAGCTCAGGCTGCTCGTTCAGAATACCAACATGTGAACAGTGGCTTGGTGGATATCATCAGCTTTGTGGTGGTAGGTAGCTGCTGAAAGCCCCACTCTTTTCAGAAACCGGGGATTAAAAGGTGCTCTGGAGGAATTTGGATGATATTTATTTCTCATGCTAGCTCCATTATAGGTGCCTGAAGGGTATACCATCTGCAAGATTTAAGGAGCTGTCTCTTACCCTTTTTATTAGCTGATGTTTTCTCTCCCTAGGCTCAGTTCCCATTAAGTCAGTGAGATTGAGGCTCAATGGCCAAGAGGCAGTGGGGATAATAAGAAGAGAACACGAGCTGTAAACCCAAACAGACCAGAATTTAAAATTGAGTTTTCCACTTCCTAGCTGGGTGACAAGTCATTTTCCCAGTTCTAGTCTTGATTTCCTATTCTTTTCCTAAGAAAGAAATAAAGCTTTAGAGAGGAGAAATAACTGGTCCAATATCAGTCCGGAGGCTGGGAGAGGAGATGTGAAAATTATGATTCAGTGACAAGTGAAACTCGTACATGATTTAATATAATAAATCACTTCAACAATACTATAATATTGGGGATTAGAATAATTTCATTTTTTAAAAAAATATTTTATTTATATATACAGAACTGGGGTACAGACCAGAGGTGCGGAGGGTGCAGAGACAGAGTGGAGAGCAGAACAGGCAGATGTACAAAGTACACTGCTGAGGGGAGCAGCGGGTGTGTCAGGAGAGGTCTGCCACGCCATGTGGATCTTCTCCGGGGCAGGCGGGGATCGAACTCATGTGGAAGTGGCTTAGGCTTCCTAGTGAAGTGCTTTAACCCGCTGTGCCACCAGGGAGGGCCACAGATACTGTTTTTTAAGAATATGCATAGAACTAATCTCATTTTATTCATCCTTTCAATCAAAATAATCTCATTATGATTTAATTTATCAAAATCATAAATTCCCAATTTACATATAAATCACACATGCAAATGCTATTATTTAAATTTTGTGGTTATATAATTTAATAAAACATGTATGGAAAATTGACATACAATATTGGAGAAATAGTTTTTTTTTAAGATTTATTTATTCATACAGAACTGGGGTACAGGCCAGAGATATGGAGGGTGAGAGGATTCACCAGGGACAGAGTGGGGAGCAGAACAGGTAGATAGAGGAAGTACACTGCTGAGGGGAGCAGCGGGCGGGTCAGGAGAGGTCTGCCACGCCATGTGGATCGCCTCTGGGGCAGGC